TCGCCAAATACAAAGCGCTGCCAGCTAGAGTTGCAAAACTATCGATAGTATTCAATATTATTTTCAAAACTATCGATATATCGTCGATAGTTTCGTATTTATATGGTTTTCGCTCAATTTTGGCATCAAGATTTCCTTAAAAATATACTTGAAAAGACGTTTGGATAGCCTTGTAAACGACCGGACACGTTTTTTTTTTAATGTTCAGTTAGAAGTAAAGTTATTGAAATTTTGAAATGAATTGAAATAAAAAAAAATTGGGCATTCTGAAATTTTATATTTGTAGTTTTAGATCTCATAAGTCATATATAAGGCTTGCTAAATTAAAATTTTAGAACAAGAAACCTTTTTTTTTTATCTGAAAAGTAATAGCTTTTATTAACCTTTTATTAAATAGTAAATAGTGGTGTGTAGATAATGTTGAAAGTTTTGGTATAAGTTAATTTCTATCAGTTTTTTTACTGGAGTAAACGGATTTATTTAGTATTTAGTGTTTTTACTAGAAGAAGAAAATCAAATATTCGCTATCTAGTTGGGGGTTCTTTCTGAAGCGTCTTTCTTCCGCGTAGCGCCTGGACCGGATCGTAGATTGTTGAAATGATTTTGGTATGACCTTTCCGTTTCCGTCGTTGGATTCGTTTACCAGCTGCTTTGTAAGTCTTCAGAGGCCATCAAGGAAAAGTCAAGCTTTCTCTGCACTGTTTCGATAGCAATAGTCATTGTTATTTTATTTGAACACACTAGTGACCATCATGACGATCTCTGCTTGAAGCGAAAAGTAGTGCGGAAGAAATTGTAATAACACGAACAGTAAACGTTACTGCTGAAAAGTTTATTTTCTTCGCCAGAAATTGACAATTTGATTGAAATGCCCACATTAGTCACTGGGTTACCTCGAAAACATTGAAATGTTAAGTATTTTTAATATAAAGAAAAATTAAATAAAATCAATACAGAAAAGAAAAACCAAACGAAAATGGCAATAGACGTAACTAATGAAGCAAAAAAAAAACACGACAACTAAAAAAATGAAACGAATAATGACAGTGAACGTGTGCAGGAATGCATTGAACCAGACAAGTTGAAGACAGGTGTATGCATGTGCATATGAATGTATGTATATACATTAGGGTGGGAGAAAATGATTTTAATGTTAGGCTCCCACCACTACGATTTTTCTTAATGGAAAAAAGAAAACCCGTATTTTTTTGTAAAACTGCCTCAGAGACCACGTAGTTTTCCAAGTATTTTATATGGACATATTATAGAATTATTGAAAATCAATATTTTTCCCTCGGAAAACACTGTTTATTTTCAGGAGACTTTCAATAATAATTCCCATTTGTTTGTTTTACAATTTTTGAATACTGCTTAACAATATTTTTTGGGTCCTCCATTGCATTTTTTAGGGTTTTTGTGGGACCATAAAAATTATATAATATTAAAAACTGGTTAAATAAACAATTGGGTATTGTTATTGGAGGTTTCCTGAAAAGTAAGTGTTTTTTCACATATAAAATACATGGAAAATATCCTTTTTAAAAACAAAATTTAGAAAATTCCAAGGAGTGAGAGCTTAATATTTGAAACATGTTTTTTTTGGATCACCTTAATATGTATAGTATATATGTATATATCTAAACATACACAAATAAGCTAATCATATGTTCGCTTGTATGTAGTACGTATGTATAAACATATATAAGTAATCGAATGTAGACCAAGTGCGCTGGCTAGTACATGGCAACGACCGACAAGTCGACCAACCAACCAGTCAATCGATCGAACATGTGATGATGATACGAGTACATACCATTATTGTGAGGCAAACTGAGCTTAGTAACATTCACTTTTATGGGGTTAACAAAATAGTGATGTACATGTATATTTACATACATGTATGTATGTATATATGTACATATACATACAGCTATGTATAATAAAAGTAGGCTACGGAAATTAGGTTAGAACTGATATTTGGGTTTAAGTAGAGATTGAATTGGAATGAAACCGTTTAGAGTGGAGCAGCAACGATTTAACCGCAGAAGACGAATAATAAGAAAAAGTTTAGAAGAAAATGAGAATAGCACAGAAAACAATTAATAAAAAAGAAATTATAAAAATGGGCAGCACTCAATTTTGCAAGCTTACAAAATGTCACCGGTGTTGCCAACTCAATGTACTTGAATGAAAACGAGAGTTCTTGGTTATTTGCATAAGCGTGCGAAGGCAAGCGAACCGAGGAAGTGAAACAGCAAATGAAAAGGCATACATACATTCCTATGTACATACATAGTATGTAGGTACATTAGACTGCATCACCAAAAAAAGTTGCGGTTTTCCGCCGGGATTACAAAATTTATTATATTTTAAGACTTCCACCGAAATATTTCTGAAAAATATTCGGATTTACGTGAGCTGGACCGATTGGAATATACCTCCAAAAATGGAGGCTTTTATGAATAAAAATAGTTTTTTAAAGAATTTTTTGGAAAAAAGCCCCTCAGATGACAAAACAGGTTAAGCTTTAAAAATCTACATAAAAATATTCAAACATTTTTTCAAAGGAGTTATAATACGATTTTTTAATGTTGTTTTTTATATTTTTTCAAAGATTTGTTTAAGAAAAACTGGGCCAAAACTATAACGATATAGTCTTGTCAGGTATCAGTGGAAAGATATTTTCATATTTTCTCACCCTTTCTAATTCCTTGAAAAACTCATTCACATCCCAATTTTTTCTTTATCAAATTCCAACACATTTTAATTCAACATGGAATGAGACTCTTTTGTCTTACCTTTCTCTTTCATGCTTTGAATGAGCTTATTTGCAAAGAAATAAAAAGGGTGGGAAAATTCCTTTCCAATGATACCTTATAAGTCTGAATCGGTAAAGTTTAGGCTGAGTTGTTCAAGTTCTTTTTTTTTAACCAGTCTTTGAAATAAGTTCAAGAACAGCATCAAAAATCTCGTTATTGTGATTCCGTTGAAATTTTTTTGAAATATTTCGGTCAAAGTCATTAAAATATAATAGATTTTATAATTCCGGTGGAAAAACAGTACCGATTTTTTTTGTATGGGGGGATGCAGTCTAATGTACATATAACATTTGTTCATACACTTTTTGCGTATGCAAAAGACTTATTTGTTTAGAGTTGACTTCAAGAGGCTGAATAAATAAAAAAATTTAAAAAATATTTCACACGTCTGCAAATATGAAATCTAAATTTACTCATTTACTTTTAACTACTGTTTTAAATTAGCAAAAATTAGCAGCTAACAGAGTTTTTTGACTTGTCGCATTATATCAAAATTGATGGCTTGAATTTATGAGCAACAAATGTCAATACAATAAAAAGTTGGAGACCTAAGCAATAGCTGACAAAATATTAATTCGAGTGGTTGCTAATAATATATAATATTTTGGTGCTTACAATTTTGCTAAAACGACCGGTGTTAAGTAGAAAAAACATTTTCTAATTAAAATGTTGCTTGGAGCAGAGAACCAACCAAGACCCTACGGAGTAGTTCACTTAGGAAAGAATTAGGTTATGTTTTCCTCAACACATGATTTGGTTATAGTTATATGATTTGGTTATAGTTATCGAAACATGTGCTGAGATAAATTTATCCTTATACTCAGAAAAAAGTTAGCTAAATATATTTCTCCCAAAACATGGTTTGGTTATGTAAAAACATATCAACTATTTTCCTCGCACAAAAGAACGCAGCTGCACGAACCCCCAGAACTGCGAGTATGAGTCGATTAGCGCTACATCGTTTCTTCAAAATATCCTGAAAAGGGTGACAGACGCACACATCAATTAAAAAGTAGCGTGTAAAGCATGTAGTAAAAGGTAAAAAAAAATCCATAAGGTTGTTATTCGAATCGAGGTGGCCATTGAGAATATATAATTCGCGTTTGAATATACCCAAGACTTTCGAAAAATGCGAGGACTGACGCAGACAAAACTTCAGCTTACACTTGAGAACAAGATAAGCTAAATGTTTAGCTGCAGAAGTATTTCGACACATTGAGGATTGCCTGAGACCACTGAACCGATCTACGAAGATACGCCACAGGGGAGCGTATTAGCGCTAGCACTACTTTGATCCATAGCGGTCAACGAGTAACTCAAGGAAATGAAAGGAGGTATGCTGAGCTTGCTGCTTATGCAGATGACGGCTTCCTCACAGTAAGCTCATTCATGAGCCAAGCGCTATGAGGTACACACCTTACTGATCGCTCTCTGAGCACATGTGTGTTTCACACGTACACGAACAGCACGCATGTAAAGAATATTTCCTAAGGTCAAGGAGTACTCCAAAATTAACCGAAATACATACATATAAAAAATGTGGTCCAAATAACATTGCGATGCCCTAAAGAAGGACCACATACTCCAGCTCTGCATTACATCAGAGTAGCACAAAACTACTCCAAGGGGTTACTCCATGCAGTACCTACCCGTAGGAAACATAACCCAATAACCATCGTTAAAACACGAACAATAATCGGGTAACAATAAGCCTGTGTAAAGACACGAGTTGGGCCGCTACTACATTACAGAGCAGGGCTCGAATCGTAACATCCGTTCATGGATCGAAAACCATACGAAAGAAAATTACGTGATACGTCAGTCGCATAAGCTGAACGGGATAAAGAGTACGTTCCCGTATATCATAAACCGAAAAATGTGTCTTTATGTGACGAGTAATACGATATCGTATGTGAAGATTCGAGCCCAGAATTTCGTAAGTACTCCAATATGGCACAAATGGACTCCATGTTCCAATGCAGGGTATTAAGTTATGTGTTCGAAATGTTCATACGAGGAAATTCTCAAAAAAAATTGTGGAGGTGTAACGGCATAAATTAGCCATGTTTATATGCTCTTCGCTTTTCACACAGCATCGCACAAATGCAAAAAATAAAAAACAAAATCCACCGAGTATTTTAACCCCATAAGTGAGTTCTTGGGCCTTCTCTCCAAGCGAATTTCTTTGGAAATATTTTTAAATATAAAAAAATTTTAAAGATTTAATGAAGAACTTAATAGTAAAATAAACCATTTTAACTAACCTTTTAAACTTTCAGTGTTATCGTCGCAAATATATTTGGCTTTTGGTTTTTAAAAAACTTTTGCTTTATGGCAATTAAATTTCGACAATGCCACAAGTTAGACTTGTCGTTGAGTTAGGTTGTTGTTTTTATTTTTAAATCGTATAAATTAAACACACACACTTACTCACTGATGTAAGTCACATTTCAAATAGAAAATTTTCGTATTTATTTTGGATTTTTAGTAAATTTGATAATTCGACGGCACAAACATTAGCACCTAGCTGCACACTGATGAATTTTCGAAATAGTATTGCGTTTTGGTCGCTTTGATTAAGTTTATTTATGTTGTTTGCACTTTGTTAATTATGTGCATACGTATGTATATGAGTATATAAAACTTTGTTTGCTTGATTTTCGTATTTCAATTTGTGTGGCTATACTATGCAATATTGCAAACGCACTTTCGCTGTACCTATTTATTTAATTATAATAAGTTTTTTTTTCGTATATATTAGTAGTTATTTAGTATGGCACCAACGCATATAAACTAAACCACACTTCGTCATTTCGCTGTAAGTAAAAAAATGCGCTATTAAAAAATGTTGAATAACATATTCCTACTGCCTATTTTTAAAAATTTATTGTAGAGATTAAAATTTTTTTATTTTTTATTTTTTTATTAACATGTTTTTTAGACGGCAAGTTATTGTGCTTGTAGTTGTGTGTTAGCGTGCGCGCGCATTTCTAGAGCATTTTGCGCACAAGTGTCAGATTTGGAAAAGCCATCCATCAGCCAAAGAAAACTATTTGTCGATTCGCGATTAGTACCTACCCAAAGTAAAACACCAAAATTTTTTTTGTATTGCTTATTTGTTGACAAACTTGCTGGCATTGAACTTGAATTGTCATAAAGTATTACAAATCGTTACCTTAAAGTGAAAAGGTAATAAGTCCATTTTTTAAATTGTTCAGGAGACACGAAAAATCGATGTAATATCGCATTATCTGACATTCTGCATCAAAAACTAAACTCTGAAAGAAAAACTGACTGGGGGCAACTTCCCGATTTTTAAAATTTCTCGTATATTCCATATTTAAAACAGAAAGTGACTCAAATTTGTGCAAAGGGCCCTAGAAAACTGCACACACTGATCAAAAAAATAAATTTAAAAAATTAAATTTTGCGGAGCCGTGAAATCAATAGCCGCGCTTAAAATGTTTTATTCGCACACGCAGTTGAAGTCATTTATTTAATATGTGTAAAGAACTGAACCGCTCAGGAACAATTTACTACAAGAGCGTGCAACTGCTGGCTTATGCCCATAACATCGACATCATCGGTACCAAAAACCGCGAAGTCTGTTCTGCATTTTCCAAGTTGGATAGGGAAGCAAAGCGAATGGGTCTGGTGGTAAACGAGGACAAGACGAAGTATCTCCTGTCATCAAACAAACAGTCAGCACATTCGCGCCTTGGCACCCACGTCACTGTTGACAATTACAATTTCGAGAAAGTAGAGAATTTCGTTTACTCAGCATTGAAATCCAAAGCAGAATCACTCTTGCCAACAAGTGCTACTTTGGACTGAGTAGGCAATTCAGGAGTAAAGTCCTCTCTCGACGTACGAAAACCACGCTCTATAAGTCACTCATCATGCC